ATTTATGTCATGAGTAAAATATGAACAAATGAAGGCAAAAAGAAATTAAAAATAAAAGAAAAATAGAAGATTTAGTAATGTCATACAAAGAAAAGGCATCCTACAAGGGAACCGTGTTCTCATTAGAAACATAGGAAACTGACATACGCTACTGGCAGCTGTGGCATAATTGCTGAAACATTGGACCTTGCACTATTGCTTGCAGTGAAACTCAAGTGTCCCGAAATAACTAGAATGTTGAAATCAGACACGAAGTAGTTTACTCTCCATAACATCCAGACCGGCTCTGGGGCCCACACAGTCTCCTATACAGCGAACACTGGGGGGCTGTTTCTCCGGAAGTAAAGCGGAAGGAGCTTGAGACTGACCACTCGTCTCAGTCCAGGTTGATGATAGGAATAGTGTTGCTATACCGACATTCCTCCATTTGTCCTTGTGGCGTGATAATCAAGTAAGCCCTGAAGTAACTTTCCTTTTGTCCATAATAATAGTAAGAAGAAGAAGAAAGAAAAGGAAGGGGGAGGGTAGAATTAGAATGAATCTCAGATTTATACATGGTGAAGACGGGATGTGGATGAAAATAACCCAAGCAAATTATTGTCTTTTTTATTAGTCATATTCGATGTTGTGTTTCCACTACCACGTATCCTGTTGACTTGAATCGGATAATGAATGGCGGATGGTAGATACATATTTACCTCAATGGGTCAGTGAGTCCTAGCTTCTTAAGATGGAGTTTACTTTATGTATTTAGTTAGTGATTGCCGGTCACGGTAGCCGAGCGGTCTAAGGCATGTACTGTCTTCGCTCGCTCGGAAGCCGGGATCGTGGGTTCGGATCTGTTTCCTGTGAGGTACGAACTGAATTCCTATATATTATTCTTATACACTGCCGGTCACAGTAGCCGAGCGGTCTAAGGCATGTACTGTCTTCTCTCGCTCGGAAGCCGGGATCGTGGGTTCGAATCCCACTCAGGGCATGGATGTTTGTGTGCGTTTTTCTGTGTTTGTTTACAGGCAGAGGCCTTGCGACTAGCTGATCAATCGCCCAAGGAGTCCTACCGTATGTGTAAGATCTAGTAAACCGAAGTGAAACGGAGAGTTTCATGGAGGTAGGCCTAGGCCCAAATTGGGGCTGTAGCGCCACAGGAAAAAAAAAATTAGTTAGTGATTATTACTGTTAAAAACGGAGACTTTTAAAAATAATTGGTGATATTCTTGAGTTGGAGTGTTTTCTCTGTAGACTGTGTGATTTTGATGGGAGCTTCTGCCTGAGTCCCTGTTGATGCTAATCTGTTGTGTCATTTCCTTGACTGTACAATTTAAACCAAACGGTGGTTCTTTGTACGAGTAAGAGTAACAAAAAGAAACAAAATTACAGAACCTACTGAGTTAGAGAGAGGCTGGAATCTATAAAGAACCTCAGCGACCTCTACGGAAACTGGGAAGTCAATATCATGGAAACTTACCGACGTAAGAATGGATTGTCTCATAACTGATGTGAAAGTTCTCTCTTTACTTAGGGCTTCAGGAAACTCCGGTCGAGGCATCTGCTTTCTTCCCATCAGAGGCAGAACGTTCCCTATTACCTCTCAGAAATTAACAAAACTTCTGCAGAATTGTATTGCAAGTTCTCGTCTATCATTATAGTGAATAAGAAAAAAAAAATCAATGGAATTTCTGCAAAGTTTGAGGCCAAGAATTATATTACTGAATCACATTTTAGAATGCAGATATTTTAAAGTCAGTCAGTCCTGGCCTAGATGCCCGTCTAAGGGTTAGTTTTAGTTTCTTGGGGTGGGGTAAGACAGAGTCCACTTGGTACGTCGGTCACTAATGCCCTATTGTACCAGCCCGGAATGATATATGATGAAGAATGTGGAGCAATTGGTGGAATGAGAGTTGACAGGGGAAACCGAAGTACTCGGAGAAAACGTGCCCCAGAGCCACTTTGTCCACCACAAATCCCACATGACCTGAACTGGGCTCGAAATCGTGCCGCCGCGGTGGGAAGCCGGCGACTGACCGCCTGAGCTATGCCACGACCCCTCTAAGGATTACCACCCTCCGAGTCCACGTGAGATGTTTAAAGTGCATTCTGTTTTGAATGAAGCAGCGAAATTTTCAGCAACATGTTGAGGAACTACTATTACATATATCATAGTATATAGGCTTACAGTTTTGTATAAAGATTTTTAATTAAGTTAAAAGGCATTTAAATTAAAAATAAATTATTAATTTACCTCATACGTATTTAAAATCTTGAACCGCTGAGGTGTGTGTCTCCGAGCCTCTTCTGTGAAAACGGGAGACTGGGGTGTTATTTGCCGTCTCCTGAGGTCCGACTAGCCTTGTTTCTCCTTTCTTTATATGATTAGTTACGGATCTGTATTCTTGTTAAGTTGTTTCTCTTTTCGTTGTGTGCTGAGGCACCTTTTAGCACAATTAAAAATCTGTATAAAACTATAAGCTTATGTACTATATATGTAATAGTAGTTTCTTAATGTGTTGTTATTGTCTTCTGAAGATGGTCACAACTGACAGAAACACGTATAGCCATATATTGAGTCGCACTTGACGGTATTGTCAAATCATTTTATAATAATTAACTAGTGTGACGGACCCGAATGCATAAAATTATACTGCGTGAAACTTGTGTTCTGATCGAACTGTGCGTGATTAAAACGCCACTGTCACTGTTTACATAGAGAACATATATCTTAACTGATTATCAGCCTGATTTCAGGCAGGCATCCTTGGGAGATGAAAAATGATGGAATGTATACAAGGAAATTAACGAGATGTATATACTCTTGAGATATAATTTATACGTCTAATGTAATAAAATAGAATCCTATGTAATATTTGAGACTTTCACGGTGGTGACTATGAAGAAAGCAGTCTGCTTTTACCGGTTCTCACGGTCTCTTCGCTTGCAGATTTCTTATATTTTTTTCTACCCTGAAGATGGAGGCGATACGTTCCTCGGAAACGTCGGTTAGCACCACATATACATGGTGCCAAATCCCAGAAGACTGCTTTCTTCAAATAGAATCCTACATTCGTTAAGTCATCCATCCTGAACCAATCACGGGGATACGACGGAAAATGACAGTGGTTAGATGACACAGTAATAGCGATTAAAGCACTGTTATTGTTCTTCATTTTAATCGGCTTTATTTATAATATAATTTATTTTGTTGTGTTGTCAAAGGCCCCACCCAGTGCCTCAATACCTCGTAAAGCAGAAATTATATGCCTAAAAATGTCACAGCATGGGAAATTATGGAGATGAAATATGAGGATTTGTTCCTTCGGAGTTATTATAATTTTATTGGAAGCTCAAAATCCAAAAGTTGCTGGTGTAACACTTATTGGAAAAGAATAAATGCACATTAAAATTAGAGGAAATAATTTTCGTTCATCTATACACTTTCACATTCAGTGATTTAGTTAGAAAATTTGTCTTCCTCCCTTAAAAATACAAATACTTGATCCTTATTCCTTTTTAAATGCTTCTGGAAAGTCACATATAACCACCTTCATGAGAATCGTAGGGCTGAAAGGCATAATCCGCAGCGTTGCATAATACTGTGAGGCATATCAATCAGAAGCAGATTAGGAACTGTGTCACATAGAGCATTCAGTTATTCGGAACTATTCTTTTTATATATTTATCCAACGTCTGGTATTCTAAAGAATAAAGAACACGATGTTTCAGAATCTGGATCTATTTCAGTCCTCAGGTGAGGGACAAATATCCAGTCTGTTGGGTCCTTTAGAAAGAGCTAACCTCAGTCACTGGAGGGAACCAACAGAGCAGATGTCCCCCCCCTCATCTGAGGACTGAAACATCCAGTTTCCGAAATGCTATGGCCTCCTGTGTTTAGGGACAAATATCCAGTCTGTTGGGTCCTTTAAAAGAGCTAACCTCAATCACTGGAGGGAACCAACAGAGCAGATGTCCCCCCCCCCTCATCTGAGGACTGAAACATCCAGTTTCCGAAATGCTATGGCCTCCTGTGTTTTAGAATACTGGGCGATGGACGAAGTCCAAAAACTCTGTAATCCCTAGCGTTATACGCCACCGTCAGATCCATTTAGAATCCAACATTCAGTTGTTTCATATAAAAGTGATAATATTTACATTCTTATGATCTGTTCCTTGTAAATTAAAACAACATTCATTTTAACTTTTCACTTTTAATTAGACTTACTATGTAATCTGAAAACATTAGTCACTTTCAAATTAAACGTTTGCTAAGTAGAACGTCAGACTGTTAAATCCGTTTGTAATGAACTTGGTATGATGGAATGAATTCTGTTCGAGATTAGCTATATTTAGAGATTCTGTTTAATTTATGTGAGCTGAAGCAATCTCTACTTCATCACATAAGCTCTAATTCTGATATATGAATGTACAAAACTGCTTAAATCACATTTCCCTTATACGAGACACGGCATTTAAGAGTGGACCCGATGCTCATGTTTCAAGTATGAATGAAAAAAAAATTATTACGTTACAACTTCTCTATTGCAACCTGATCTGTGTTTATTTTCCAGTGGAAAAGTTGCAAGAATGGAATTCTAGAGTAATTTTGCCAAAGTTCGAATATTATAAATGAGTAATCAGAGGTAAAAGAAAATCGAAAAGAGAAACAAATTGGTTATTCTTGCAACAGAGTTTCATGTTTAAACATGGGAGAAGTGTATTATATCTTCTACATTAAACATATGAAAACAACGGGACAGAACAAAGAACAGTTTATTAAACGTTCAGTTTCCAGCATTAGCCACATTATATGTATTTACAATTCATGGAAGTGAGAATAAAATATTTCCTGTATTATGTTTCGAAGAGAAAAATTAAAAATAGTGAGTATTTTCACAGGCCTCCTCCTGAAACGACAATAAAAAAGGGAAACCCTAAATTCAAGCACAAAACTCCGCGATTCCCTTTAATCCAGCAATTCTAGGAATGAGACTGTTTTTTCGTTTCAGGAGCATCTGCTGGATTACAACGAGTCCACAGGAGTTCTGCCGGATGGACACAGGCTGACGTTGCGGGCAGTCATGAAGGAGTCGGCTGGGGAGTATTCGTGTGCCGCGGTGAACAGAGAAGGTGAAACTCGAAGCAGCTCTCTCTTCATAAAGGTGCAGTGTAAGTGATCCACATTCATTTGTTGCGGACTAGTACTTACCAGTGACACAGTCACACTGTTTATCGTATATCGAGCACTGAGTGGTTGAAGTCTGGCCCTGTTATGTTTGCAATTTGATATATTTTCTCCTCATCTGTGTATAGATAAATACTATTCATGTGCGTTGTTCTCGGTGCTATCAGTGATCAGCAGATATGTTACGTATGGATCAGTTTCGACCTGATTGATAACGTCTGTTCCAAGCTTCACTGACAAACATCAATTTTGCTCTCCTGTTTTGAGTTGAACCCCCACGCCATATCAGATATTGGAAATAAAACACGCGGACTGGAAGATAGATAGACATTAGTTCCCTGTTATTTCATTTCACTTCATTCAAAGAAAGCATAAAAATATATAATATATATTGTCAGATGTTCCAGTGACCTTACTGGTCGTAATTACAAATAATTGTAACACAGTTACTGATTTTCACGCTAATCTCTTTTGTCTATCTCCACTAGTCTTCATGGATTTTTAACAGTCTCACTAAATCACACACTCGCAATATCACACACAAAGTCTTTAAATCACACGTTAATTTTCACAGGCTGACTTCTTGTAATCTTCTTCAAATATNTAACAGTCTCACTAAATCACACACTCGCAATATCACACACAAAGTCATTAAACCACACGTTAAATTTTCACAGGCTGACTTCTTGTAATCTTCTTCAAATAGGAAATTCCCGTGGCTCTCTCCTACCGAGAACTGACTCGTCGTCGAACCGAAAGAATTCTGTCACTTATATAGCCGAGGAACGAACACGCATCACAGGAAAGACATATCACGTGATCACGACCCACCATTGCGTGACGTCACCGCGGACAGGGAAAAATATCCTCTTCTATTGTTGCGTTTTGTACTTGGTTACATAGCTGTTAAAACGCGTTGATCAAATGCGTTAAAATATGAACTCGAGGGAGTGAAATTAATTACATTGCAACATCCAGATGGTGCAACGCGGCTGAAAGGAATATTTGTTTTTCAGTTTATTCCGTATATGTAGCTGTCACTGATATGAAAATTGACCATCTCCATTAATTGTAGAATTTAAGAATGCTTGTAACTATGCTTCTATTTCATATTCATCATTTTAAGGCTCAGTATCGAAATAACTAAAATTTCTGTTTCCATATACATCTGGCGCCCATCTTTTGCTGTAACTTGCTAGTTTTTGTTTTACTTGCTCCAGTCCCCATAACAATTCTTACATATTTCAGTATTACTGCAATTCGTGTCAAGTGTAGCAGGTTTCATAGCCATAACGCCTTGAAACCTGTACATTCTTCTCGATCCGATTTTATATTCATCCCAACAAACACCACGATGTAGTGGTTGATATTCGTTGTTCTTATACCATTAATCCCGATTTTAATTAATAATATATTAAATAGTCTTATCCTGGATGTTCATTATTTCCCCTTGGTTCTTCAAAATCATGCTCTGATAAGTTTCTCCAAGTGTTTGCTTATGGATCTTCGTAATGTATCTTCTTTAATTAATAATATATAAATAAATTAATAATATAATATATATCCTGTTCTCGGATGTTCATGATTTCCCTCTGGTTCTTCAAAATCATGCTCTGATAAGTTTCTCCAAGTGTTTGCTTTTGGATCTTCTTAATGTATCTTTTTTAATTAATAATATAATACATATCCTGTTCTCGGATTGTTCAAGATTTCCCGTTGGTTCTTCAAAATCATGCTCTGATAAGTTTTCCAAGTGTTTCCTTTTGGTTCTTCATAATGTTATCTTAAGATTCGAAACCGTGTAGCCTACGGGGTTGAGAGATCATCTTTAAATGCACCAAAATATCAGGCTACTGCTTATTTTTGTCTATTTCTGTCTCAGTTTAAATATTAATTATTTGTACGTATTTTCTTTGGTGACTTTATTAATCAGCACTTCTTCTTATGTTCTCTTCGTTCGGAATTTAAATTGTATGGGTTTTTAAGCGTACATTTAACAACACATAAAACATTCACAATATAACTGCATGATCAATCATTAATCAGGTTTACTAATTCTATTCCTCAGGTTCTGCATATCATATCTCAATTAGACAAGTTTATTTTCATTAGGCTTTCCGGCAGCTAACCAAGAATGAAACACAACATAACACAGAATCAATTTATCATAAGATATTCGTATTCAGAATATGTAATTACAAAAAATTATAATAATTATAATTATAGTTATTGTATGTGCAGCATTAGAAGGCAGAATATCATATTAGACTAAATAAACATCGGTAAGAAAATCATTTTCTAATATTACATTTCAGAGAAATTTGTTTTGAATAATTTGACAAACGCTAGAAATTTTCATCCATAATTAGATGGAAAGAAATGGGATTAAAATATATAGAAACGAAGTCTGTGTTCTTGTAAACCCAAGTGTTTCTGATGTGTTCTGTATTTAAAAATATTTTAATGTCGCAGATGGTGCTCAGTGGCAGTGGTCGCCGCGCAAGGGGATGACAGTATTTTGCATGAGAAATATTCCTACAAGGTCCACAATCTCTAAAAACGGGAAGGAGGGAGTGAGAAAGAGACAGAGTTAAAAAAATTACATGCCCATTTCTCATTCCGTACACTTTGTCACTAAATCTGAGCCATAAATTACCACGACCACTCAACCCCCAAGTGTGCTCTTCTCCAATTCGCGAACGGAGAGCGCAGAACAGAAAATTCGGTGGAGGATCCTGTGTGATTTTTATACGTTAAAGGAGAAACGGGGTGTACGCGAGCACACACACACGTACAGATCTAGTGCGGTGGTAATAAGCAAATTGAAGAAAAACACAGAATATATATATATATATAGTTGTATGGACGATACCATAGCACAGAATGGTTTCTTATGTATTCGTGGAGTAAAAATCCTTTTTAGAAGAGCTATGACCTGAAGTTAGTAGCCTTATGTGACAGTTATAAATTTTTCTTTTTTTAAACCTAAATAATTTCATAACTATCGTAACAAAAGGGGACACACGGTAGCGTAGTAGGTTGAGGAACTATGCTACAAGCCGGAAGGTTACGGGATCGAATCCCGATGAGGTGGATTTTTTCAATTTACCTAATCCTTCCAGCCGCACTATGGACCTGGGGTCGGATCAGTCTCCAACATAAATGAGTACCAGGAATATTCTTGCGGGTAAAGGGCGGCCGACGCGTAAGGCTAACAACCTTACCGCCATCTATGAGCCGATTGTCTAGATAATGTGGGAGCCTCAACACCTCACAACCCTATGGGCGTCCACAGCTTGTTACAGGGATACCGTTACTTTACTGTCGTAACAAATTCATTTCTTGTGTTACTTTTCCTACAAATATTCCTTACATATTCTTTCTTTTATTTTCACTCAGCGGAGTCCTTGTAACAACCTACATGCTTAAATGTAAACCCCTCCCCCCATATTATTTATGCAGGCTTTACGTGATTTTAATTTTCGTCCATCTCTGTTTATTAACTTAATTTTTGGTTTATTTTCCCATATATTTCGATATAATTTGTTGCATTTTTTACTTTATTTAGTCAGTTCCAGATGTTTTTTATGGAGTCTTAGAAATATTATCTTATAATTATTATTTATTTGTTGCCATTTTGCCACCCATTCCAAGTTTAACCGCAGTGTTTTAAGCTCGATTATTAATGTACCCTAGAAATTTCTAACTTCATCTTAAGCACTTGTAAAGAGTACGGTAACGAATATAAAACTACTACTGCAAACCTCGAACTGTGAACTAGTTTCTATTGTCACGTTTTAGGGCGTGTGACTATTGACGGTGTTTGGATTGGATGATTGGACTTATTGCGTTTATACACTCAATTCGTATCTACAGTTAATACAGGGCTATCGCTGGCGTCCATTTCACTTTTACACCCACTAGTGTCCTCACTCTATTACAGTAGTCTCCGCTAGCTATTTCCTGGCAACGGATTTCAACACAGTAGTAATGGCAGTCTCATTGTAACTGCAGCACATGTGAAGTCTTCTTTTCACAGCCGCATTGTTGCAATTCATCTAACTGCAGCCATCTGCTCACGTTGGTTCCTCGCTCGCGAATTTTACTACCCTGAAGATGGAGGTAATGCGTTCCTCCGAAACGTCGGTTCACACAAGATCTGTATAGTACCATATCCCAGAAGACGGAATTCTTCATAGTCACCGTCGTAGAAACCTCAGCTCTTACAATTAATAACATTCTTGCAAACTACAACCGAGTAATCGTCGTGGGAAAATGATCATTGTTTTAGAATTGTTCTATTAGAGGTCCGGCTATACGATTATTCAGTATAAGAACGTCATGAAATCGTCGCTTCTGTGATATAGTTTTCCTTGAAATCCACGTAGCCATTCATACCACTGGTCCGTAGCCTTTAATGTTATACCAATAGATGTCTCTGTGGTCCGTCTGGAACCGTGAGAGTCTGAGCCTATAAAATGGCTTCTCGTATAGCAACTACCACGTACATTCGTCAAGACAATGTTCAGTGGAGCTCCCATTCAATAGAATCTGTAGGTTACTCAATAGGCGGGGAGGAATCGGCTTTAGAGCTAACCCACTTTTATTCTGTCTCATTAACTTTGATAAAGGACTCACGAAAATTCTCCTGATTCCTAATTTTGTGGTCCATCCCCCATTCTCTAGATCAAGATCAAAGTTTTTGAAGATTGGATCAGATCCCAAGTAAGGGTAATCATGGGGGTTGCAACATTTTTTCCACGTGTATGTGATTGAAATATAATTTATCTCCGTCGGGTTTGGATATGCCTGTCGTTTCCTTGGGGTATTATTTTATTTATTTTATTGCTAGTGAGGTGGAACTAAGTCCCTTGTACTGCGGCCACTTCTGGCCTGTTGTAATAGCCCCAGATGTTAGGTGAGGGTGATTGTGGAGCAATTGGTGGAATGAAGATTGGCAGGGGAAACCAAAGTACTCAGAGAA